ACTTCTTCCATTATTAACAGCTTTGAATTACTGAGACTGAATAATTAACAAATATTCCTACTTGATGATAGATTATTCAAAAGGCAGATGTACAGAAACAGGCCCCAGGTGAACATCCTTCCTGCACCCCCAGTGATGCATATGCCTATTAATGTTCCCCAGGGGAGCGATGCAACATGGCACGAGAAAAATACTCTTTGGAGAGATCTCATAAATGCTTCTGAAACTCTTATCACAGCAAATGCTCCATAGATAAGTGTGCCAGGGTGCGTTTCGGACCTGCTGGTCTCTGTTCGGAGCCCTGGGCTGTGTCCAGCCAAGTCATATGATGCAGACCAGGATGCCACTGCTTTCGGGGCAGGGTCACCTGTGTACACCGGGTGGGAAATGTGGGCTTAAAACATTGCCCCGCTTCCTGGTTGAAGCTGAAGCTGAAGCACCCCTCAGTCTTCAAGCAGGGCAACATCTGTTGAAGTGTGGCTCAGTGCTGGCCTCCTTTGGCATTTCCAGAGATTGTTTTGATGAGTAAAACTCAAAATCTCTGTGCACCAGAGAAAACCTGAGGTGGGTAGTTCTCTTTGGTGTCTGTTCACTTGCACAGCTCTTTGTGGCTGATGAGGCTGGAAGGGATGGAGGTCTCCGTACTGGGCAATAAGCTTGTTCACTGAGGGGGATGTCTGGCAGCACAGGGCAGAGCTAAGTCTTCACCTGCTGTTATGTTCCTGTACTTCTTCATGAGCCCAAATGAGAGGAGTGCCATTAGGACCAGAGCAGCTGTTCAAGAAACAGGACAGATCAAAATGCTTCATTCCTCCTCTGTGCCACCCTGACACCAGGTGCCTTTCCCTGGGTGGCACAGCCACCAGCCTAGGAGCCAGCGTCCCCGCCGCGGGAGGGGACAGGGATGTCTCAGCAAAACCCTGGCGCTTCCCCTAAAAAGGAGCCGGCAGGCTCAGTCACCAGCCCCCCTCCCAAGGCACTGCATGGTGGCGTGAGAAGCCCCGTCCATGGCCAGCTCACCCCCCGGCAGGGCTTGGGACGAGGGAGGTGTCTCTCCCCTCCGTACGCGCTCCAGAGCGCCAAGGCAAGGTGCTCCAGCAACGCAGCCCTGAGAATTGTTCAGGAGCAGCAGAAGGATGGGCAAAGCTAGATAAGACAAAATATAAATCTAACTCAGCCTGGCTCTGTATAAACTAAACCATCGTCGTCCTCTTTACCGCTGTGCCAGCATGTATGTGCTGCCACGCTCGCTCGGGAGGAGAAGGAACATCCTTTGTCTGGCGCTGTTCAGTGCGGTTTGACGTTTTGTTTCACAGATGCAGCCACGGAGCAATGTTAGCCTATTGTGAAGGCTTATTTAGACAGGTACAATTACGGCTCGGCGGTAAAGGTGCCTTTGATCCCGGCATCCCATTGTTCCTGAGGCTTTTCATCCCACCCGGTACCCTGTTAGCAGGCCTGTGCCTGAGACCTGCCTTTGAAACTGCTTCTTTTCCATTTCCCTTTAATTTCCATGGTGTCATCTTCTGCTGATGAACGTTATTAATGAAGGTGCTGGCATTCAGTTGTGCTCAAAATGCTGTTGCTCGGCAGGTGTCTGACCTTCCCCAGCTGTGCAGTGGCCATCTGCAGGAGGGCAAATGGTGGGTCCAGAGCGGTCTGTGCGGCTCCAGCAGCAGAGAATCGCCTTGTGCATCCCACCGTGCATGGTGCCCACAGGGAAGGACCCGCTCCCGGCTCCTCATCCTTCTCTAAAGGACTTTGCTGCAGTGCAGGTTCACGTGTCAGCAGCTCCCAGCTTCCAGCCTCCCAAAATCTCCAAGGCAGGACGTGGCTTCTGGGGAAAATGAGGTCTTTCAGATTGGATGTATGGGGAGATGGATGGGAGAGAGGGAAGGAGTGACATCCCATTTGAGGAGCATCCGTGTGGCCAGTGACCGGTTCTGTAGGGTGGCTTGGGATTTTAGTGTTAAGATAAGGAATTAGATGACAATTGCCTTTAGTTTTGAGGAAGGAATCTGTATGCAATTTGGGGTGGTCACTGGTGATTGAGAAGCACAAAAACTGATGCCATTTGCTTGATTTTGCATTTAGCATGTTACTATGAGACCAAGGAGGATAGCTGCCCAGAGATAGTGTTCAGGGTGTATTGAGAGTTCAAAAGATGGACCAGAGGCAGGAAGGCGAAGGAATCCATCAAGAGCCGTTAAACACAAGCCCATTGTGACGCAGACCTTTGTGGCATGGGGGAGCATGCAAGGGAGGTGCTGCTATGCCTGTGTAGGCATTTAATCTCCTACCGGCCACTGTCAGACAGAATGATGGATGAGGCAGATCCTTTTGATCAGTAGGGATTTTTTTGTGTCAGATGAGGGGAAGTATGACTGGACCAGTGTAGGCAAATTGCAGGCAGCAATTGCAGTGTAATTGCAAGAACTGCGGACACAAAATCCACTCGTTGCAAGAGTTGTCCGAGAACTAATGACCCAAAGTGTCAGAAAGCAATGCTCTCCCATAAAAACTGGGAAAGCCACATTTAGTTCAGACAGAGCCTTGTCAGCATTTCTGAATGCACCAAAGGGTTTGTCCAGAGCTACCAGCTTCTCGGAGCCTTAATTGCTGTCATTGAAGTTGTGCTAAGTTCAGTAGATGACTCTTTCTAATTAAGTGCAAACGCTTTCAGGTGCTAAATAAAAGCACATCTTGACTTTGCCTTTCTCCTATCTTAGCATCTATAATTGGCTTGCACAAAAATAAGTGTCTTGCTGGATGCAAACCCATGGCTATGTCTGACCTCTTCAGCATAACCCCAGAGACCTTCCTCCGTCGAGCAGGAGTGGATTTACTGACATTAGCACTGAAAAACGGCAGGGCAAAAGAAGCAGTCATGCCTTTGCTTCTGGGCTGGGATCATTCATTCCAACACAAGACCAGACCCATTTCCTTAGCGGGTACCCTTCGCCCTGAGCTACCCATACCGCCTCTCCTGGCACACGGGTATCCCAACAACCCATCTCCAGAAGGACACCTGCCTGGCAGTGCTTAGGGACTTTTTGCCTGAAAACTTTGTAGAGAGGTGGGATATGCCCAACTGTCCGCTCTACGTGACATTTATTAATCTCTTAGTTTTAACACAGAAGGTTATCTGGAATTAAAAGCTACCTGAGCTCTCACAGGTCAGAAAGCACTACTTGGCACATGGACGTACATTTGTGAAGTTAGAGTATGTAATTGCCTTAGAACTCATTACAGCCAGATAATTGCACTTGGTTTTGAGCCTGCATATATCTGCCTAGTGCTGTGTTTTTCTATGAAGCTAGCATGAGTCCAGGGCATCTCCTTTCGTCTTCTCTATTTGCTCATAAACATCCTCACCCGTCTGGATTAACCTATACCCAGTGATGCATTTCCTTGTAAAACATTGAAAATCAAGGAATTCCTGAGATATTGTTCATAATCAATATGAAGAATCCAACTTCAGCAGGCTGCGATCTGACCCACTGGTGCAACTGGCAGTGGGCAAAAAAGTCATACTCAAAGTGGCATCGCTTTTAGGGACAAAAATGGAGATTGTGATTAAGTGGATGTTCTGCAATGCAGGCTCAGGGCGAAGTTAATCACTAGAAGCTTATCCACACGGCACAGGTAGTGGAGGCAGGACTTCAGCAGTCTCTAATCTTTTTTAGTTTTGCTAAAATCAAGAGAATTCAGTGAGATAAAGTGTACAAGTCTGGAATGTGTTTAGTAAATAAAAAAGTGACCCTAGAGGAAGTCAAAGTAAAACAGAGTAACAGTTCAATTTTTCAATTGCCTGAACAATCTCACAGCATTAATCCTGGGTGTTGAATGCCAGCTCTGTACACTGTGAAGAAATTTCCCTGCTGAATTAGTGTCAGCTGCTGCTCTTAATGCCAGTTTATTTCTAGCCACGCTTGATAACCCGAGCAAACACCCGTTCTCACCTGTGTAATGTAATAAGGAAAGTTACACACGCAGGCGAAGGTTTGGGATGCATTTTGTTCTGGATACATGATTAGAAATAGCTTTAAGGGAAAAGTGGCTCAAAATTTTGTAATAAAACCAACTTTATGAGGAATTGAACACTATTTATTGCATCTGCGTATTGCCTTCCTGCTTTGTAGGCTCCAAAAAAACCCCCCAACAACATTTTTTGAAACATTTGACAAGATATTTGTAGAAATGCAGACTTAAAATAGGTCCAACATTGTGTTTTCATGTTATGCTTCCTTTTTCTTTTCTTTCTCTTCATTAACTAAAAGAAATTATTGATGTCAGGACAGGGAGAAATTGGGCACTTCCTTTGAAAAATTTTTTATTTTCTTTTCCCGAATAATTGAAAAGTTACCAAGTGAAAAAGAAAAAAAAAAAAAAAAGCCAGACTGCTTCTTGTTCTGTGGCACAGAGTGAAGGGAAGAGAGAACAAGGCAAAAGATTTTGCAGAAGATTTCAAAATTCAAAATGTAAAATGCACATCTTGAGGAAAACCTTGGGGAAAAAATAGAAAAACAAAAGGAAAGAAAACCAAAATACTTTTGCATAGAAAATAATATTATGTATTGGGGTGAAAAGGGAATTAAAACATTTTCAGAGGCTCTGAATTGAAAGGGACTTTCAGCAATTGAGCACAGTTCCCTCCAGCTCTCAGACGTGGGCTCCTCCACCATATGTGTTTGCTTATCCCCCCCTGGGAGACCTGGGTGGCTGCAGGTGTCCTCCGCCTGTAGCCTTTCTGCTGATGAACTCGAGCCTCACAGCTTTCCCAATAAGTATGAAACGCTCTGTGTTAATGGTCTTGGTGGGCAGGCCGCCTCGCTGCGCCAGGCGCGGGGATGCTGCGCTATCACCCCCAAAACGAGCGCCCGTGCCTGACACCTCGGTGCTGCCCCGGCGATCCCCTCCCAGGGCCGCTACACCTTCTTTTCTTTTATTTCTCCTTTTTTTTTTTTTTGTTTGTTTTTTTTTGCCTGTGTGCTCCCCAGTTCGAGTGAGGGCTTCGGCGTAGCGGAGAGGATCGTGCTGCTCACCTTCATCTCCGCCGTGATACTGATGGCCATCCTGGGGAACCTGCTGGTGATGGTGGCCGTGTGCCGGGACAGGCAGCTCAGGTGAGCCCACCCAGCCGGCCGCCGCCTGCCCTTCCGCGGGGAGGCACAGGGGAAAATCCACTCCTAAAAACCCTCGTGCCTGCAGCTGAGGGTGTAAACCACCAGGATGAAGGGTGTCTGTGGCCGGGCATTGGACCGCGGCGATGTCAGACTCTCACAGGGGCCTCAGTGCATCCCCGCTGGGATTCACACTGGGGCGGTGGGATCATTTCAGTATCCATCCTTTACATTTTTAGCACTCTCAGTGTAACAAAACAGATAAATCTGTGAAGAACAGAGCTAAGCAGCAATTCCTTGGAGAAGCAGGTTGGCCTCTACCCCTTTTCCATCTCAGATTTCCTAACAAGCCCGTCAGAAGACCACACAGATCAAGGTCCTGTTGCAGATGTGCTGCTCTGCCGCAGCTTGGCAAATGCTGCCAGTGATTTTGGGGGGGGTCGCAGGCAGAACTCCTGTCTGCAGGCTTGCTGCCACCCCTGGGAGTTGTCAGACCAGCCTCGGGAGCAGAGTGAGAGATTCAACAGCCTCTATTCATATTCTGCGTGGGATTTTTAATGGATTTAATTCTATTTTATTGTTATGATTTAAAAAGTACTCTTCAAGTTAAAATTACAGCTTCGGTCTAGATTCTTCTCAGTGCTTTCTGGAAGGATTTTCTCAATTTACAAGTTAAAATGAAATCCCCCTCCTCCACCCCAAACTCTCCAACGCAAGCCGTGAGGCTGAGCCACATGCAGAGGCCTGTGAGCATCTATTTGCCTCCTCTGCGTGAGCAGAAAGATGCGTTTATGCCGGGAACATGGTGGATATTTAGCTGTAAAAACCAGGAACAAGCTAGGGGTGACCATATAAAGTGAGGGGTACATTAGAGAGGACCTCTCAGTGTGATGGGGCGAATCAGACCCAAACACAAGCTGAAATCTCTGTCCACATGTAGAAGGTGCTGGACTGAAACTATTCCACCCTAATTTTGTGATCTGTATTGCAGGAAAATCAAGACCAATTATTTCATTGTTTCCCTTGCCTTTGCGGACCTGCTGGTGTCAGTGCTGGTGATGCCCTTTGGAGCCATTGAGTTGGTTCAGGACAACTGGATCTATGGAGAGATGTTCTGCCTGGTCCGAACGTCCCTCGATGTCCTGCTCACCACAGCATCAATCCTGCACCTGTGCTGTATCTCGCTGGACAGGTATGAACAGAAGAGCATAGAGAATAATTATAGTTGCTTTAAGTTGCTTCTTGTTGCTCGTTGGCTGTAGCCAAAGGGCAAATATGAACCTGCTGGGAGCAGCCCAGCAATAAATCTCTCTTAGTAGCTGATTTTGGAGAGAGCTCTCTGAATCCTCATCAGCGTAGGAAAACTTTGAAAGGAATTAGGTTTATATCGGTAGAGCAAGCCAGGTTCTCAGCCGCTTTGCAGCACAGCTCTGTTTGCATTACTGCTCAGATGTGGCACAGTTTCTTCATCAAAGTAAAGAAAAGATGCCTTAAAGATGTATAGAAAGGGAAAAAACCCTGTAGCTGTCACAGAAGGAGGTGTATCGTGCACAGGACGTTGGTTTAGCAGGGACGTTGCTCTCCGTGACGCTGTCAGGTGCTGCTCGCTGCCGGGGCGGCAGGGGAGCCTCGGCTGGTGCGAGGCTTGACGTGTTGCGCTGAGCCCTGTCTTCCCAGGGACCGAAACACGAAATTATGTGGCTTCCTCTCTTTTGTCAAAAAAATACTTGACATGTCTTTCAAGTGCTATCAGATCTGTTCTTCCTGCCGCTAGAAGCCGTACAGGCAGAGGAAAACTGATATTACTAAATGACACATTGGGACATATATTACTACATTATAGGGAGAAAAATATAAAGAGCAACTGCTCCCCCCGCCCCAGTTTTTATGGCCTGTTTTTCTAAGGCATCCATTTGCACATCTCCACGAGTGAAGGCTAACAAGGAGGGAAATAAAGCTGGTAAAAAGGGTGCATAGGCTTTGTGTGAGATCCTAAAAACTTTATTTTCTTTTAAACTTTTCTTGCAAAATTAAAATGAAGCCCACATCCTAAATAGTTTGTGGCAGACAATTCTATTTTACTGTTGTCTGCATTTTTTTGGGGTAAACAGCAGAACTTTCCATACAGTATAGCAAGAATTTTTCACAGGATAAATGCTTAGAAGAAAACATCTTGACCGGCTATTCTAATAAGCAACATTTAGAGCTTTCATTTGAGTTCTGTGTGGAGATTTCAATACCTTTTAAAATACTATTGCTTAGTATTATTAATATGGCCAAAATAACCGTAATCATTCTCGTCATCATGACAATTGGTATTTAAATAGCATCTTTCATCCAAAGAGTCTATACCCAGCCAGGCTTCAAAAGACACTTGATTAACTTCTCCATTGATGGGCAGCGCTCCTTTGTTGGGGGCGAGAGGGGCTCCGGCACATGCAGTATTGTATCCAGAGGGAAGCTGACGTGTAATAGCTACAGCGCGGTTTCCTTATCTGGAAGTTTGGATGGCTGGAACACAAATAGGAAGCTCATTATCTTAAAAACATTGACAAATTGCCACTTTGCGCCAATTACCAGTAAAGCAGATGTTAGGCACTGTGCTCTGGATGTGGCCTTGTTACATAAAATGTTGGAGTTTGATTCTGCAGGCTCTTAATTAAACATAGGGGGTTGTGTAGAGAAAGGGACATGAAGGGAAAATATTGTTTTACCCCGTCCCTTTCACCCCCTCATCTCTGACACCCACAGGGGATGAGGAACCTCCCGTGTGGGGTGCGTAGAAGGGAGACTCCCCCCTTTCTCCTGCCTGTGCCACCCTCTTGCAGACCCCCGCCACGTCGTCAGCTCCTGCTCCTGCTGCCTGTCCCCATCGGTCCCCATGCTGCTGGGACAGCCTTGTCTGGGGTGGTGAAGGCGTTGGGGGAGCCCTGGCTCTATCCCTTGTCAATGCTTTGATCACTCGAATATGGAACAGAAGAGGAGAACGGCTGTCTTGAAGGAAAGCAGCAGCTGTAGCCACGTTTTGGAGGAAACTGATTCTCCAAGCCTGTTCCACATGTGTTCTGAGAAGTTTGTGGGAAGGCGCAGCACTCCCTGCACTGGGGTCTGAGGGTGATGGGCACTGCGCTTGAACAAGTCCCGTATCAGCATCACTCCGTTTAAGTGGCTTGGCCTTCTGTGATAAAATTATCCCGCTTTTAAAGATGTCAGTTTACAGAGTGTGTATTTGAACCTGTTGGTGGTACAGAAATGTTCTTCCTATTTCCTTAGGATTAAAAAGAGTCTTTAAAGTAGAATGAAAAATGGACACACGCACTGGCTAAAATAAAACCAACCCACATCTACCAATCTTGGTGCCAAAATGATAAAAAAAAAAAGTTTAGAGCTCTGAATTTGAAGGTCCCAAGAGCTGGAGATCATCTTAAGAGTCACAGGAAAAAATAAACTTTCATAAAATGCCTGTAAACTTTTTCCTCAGGAATGCACTGATAGAGAGAAGTCCCCCAATATTTTCCACCCTCCTGGTATTGGCCATGTTAGACTAAATAGGAGTCAAATTGCTTGAAAAGAAGCTGAGGATGTATTGATTAACAAGCGATGGGTGTGCTGAAAACCTCTGGAAGTTTAGGGGTGAGGGAGCAGAGCCTCGCTGTCTGGGATACAGAAACACAGTGGCAATTTTTGACTGCTGACAAACCTGAAATTGCCAGATGTCAGGGAATTATTTCAGGATACACAAATGGTCTTTCTCTTTCGCATGTGTTTACCACGCACGTGCTGTTCTTTGCTCTCAGGCAGAGAGAGAGAAAAGATGCTCCAAGCTGGTGGCTGGATGCGGCCTGGCATGGATAATTATCGCAGCCATTATCATTTGCTGAAGAATGACACCTCTGCAGACGAGCTGCAGAGCTGATCTAAATTTTAGGTAATTCTCTGGTACTGTGTTTTTCTTGTTTCTCTTCTCAAAATGGCTTTATTGAGCGGTCGTTAGAGCAATGACCACCACACACAGCACCATTAGCAGAGCGCTAACAGCAGCATCCCCGAGGCAGGCTGCTCCTCTCCAAAGGTACTTGAATTTGCCATAGAAACTTTTCTCTGTCATCTAATCTCTGTGGAGCATACGTAGCTCTCCTGGCCATTCAGTCTTGCTGTAGAAGTTCATCTTGGATGCTATTTTGATTCCATGGGTAATCATTCGGGGCTTTGCCACTGACATGAACAAAGCTAGGGTTTCATCTTGGACATTTCAGAAGCTATATTTATTCTCCCAGTAGAAGGCGGCACAATTATGTGTGTATTTGCTGACAGAGAGTGTCATCTGAAAGAGAAAGCCCAAGACCTCTCTGTCTCATGTGAAGAGGAAAATCCCAAGCCAACTGCGTGGCTTTCATCACTGTCCGTTTGGTCAGACACCTCAGTATGAATCTTATTGAGTCCAAGACTATGGGCTTCTGGGTTCTCCCAGGACCAAATGTCAAGTTCAGACTACCCCCCATGGTGCTTGAGGCAGACTAAGGTGCCTCCTGTAGCACTGGACTAGCTCTTCTGAACTGCTGTACATGAAAATATTAGGGAGGTGGGTCAGTCCCTTGTCATCTTCCTCTCTTAAAGCTGTATTTCTTCCTCTGATTCATCGGCTGACTAACACAATTTTCAAAATACAACTTGGTAGGACACCAGTAGCGTACTGTAGCCTTTGCTGAAGTTGTTAACTTGTTAACATCCACCTGGACATCATCCCTGAGCACAGGAAACAGTCCTAACCTGACCAGGAATTTCTGTGCTAATCCATGAGCTATTTTGTGTCCCAAACAGTGTATAAAAGACTTCCTTTCTTCCTGAATTACTGCTGTATATGTTATTTTACATTTCTGCGGTACTTGCTCCCTGGCACAGTCTGGCAGCCTGATTAGGTAAATCTGAAGACATGTTGTATAAAAGCAATTGCTCTCCACCACACAAGCAGCAGATCTTTTCAATCCACAACCTGATACCCCTTACCTAGCCACACTGGCAGGTCTAAACATTCACAAAGACCAAGGACGGGAAATTTTTTTCCTGCTGGGCCCATTTAATAAACCATTTTCCATTTGAAATGAAATATGAGGTCTTCCCCTCCATCTCTCAGAGGAGGCATTTGGGTGGAAGAAGACACGGAGAACGTAGACATTTTGATGTTGGCCTTTACCACATCCCTACGGATGCGCCATGGTCTCTTCCTTGCTGTGTTGAGGGGGATGTTACACTCGTGCCATATCCTACTGCAGGTGACCTGGAGCCTGTGACAGTGCCAATTCACTCCTGTGTCCTTTTTGCAGAGATTAATTCACTTTTGCTGCCAACCTCCTCGGCAAGCAGGACAACAGGGATTTTCAACACAGCTTGGGTGGCATGGTGGATTCAGAATAAAAGTTCCATTTTCCACACTAAAAGAAGGCTGAACCCCACCTTTTAAATCTGCCTTTTTCTCCTTCTCGATGTGCCAGCCCCTTGCTGTGACTGTCCTGGGAGCATCACTTCCAGGTGTGTTTTGATCTGTGATCATCCTGAGAAGGGCAAGGAGAAAAATTTCAACCTCACTTCACTTCTCTCCTAGAGGTGAAAAGTGAAAATACCCAGACTTCAGTCACATTTGAATAGATACAAGTACAAAAATTTTCTAAATTCCACCTATTTCCTGAGCACTGCCTATTTTTAGAAGCCTTTTCCTTTTGCAGACTGAACTCAAGAAGTTGTGCTGTTCCTTGTCCATATTAGTTAAAATGTGGGTACCTGACAGCGCGGTCTAATAGAGATTAATGACTTGACAGAGTAACCATCCTCTAAGCCAAATGAGCAGCGTACCCAACACATGCTGCTCACAGCAAGGATCTCACGGGCTAGTAAAGTCTCCTAATTTCCAACTGCTGCACCAAATTTTCCTTTTGGGATTTGGACTATAAGCTTTCAAAGCATATCTCTCCCTTGTCCTCTGCAAACATTAGTTGAGATTTGAAAAGACTTCCAGGCAGTTTAATTTTTGCAGCATTCTGCACACATCTCCAAGCAACTTTCAGGTCAGCTCAAAATACTCACTCTGATATGAGTAAGAGCAACATGTCTTCCTTTTCCCCTCTTGTCTGCAGAGCCTCAGACCGAGACTTTCAGTGGTGCTGGCAGAAACCACAGAAATCTCTGTGACAATTT